TATTCCAATTAATTAATTTATTTATGTAAAGGGCAAAATTGCCTGCCGCCCCTCTCCGAAATTTCCACATGACAGGCTAGCTGATGCCATTGCTCTTGCATTAGGAAGTAAAAATAAAAAATTAGACCAGGCAAATTACAACCCGACCCGTTGACTCGACCCAAAACCGCCCAAAAATTAGAAATTTTTGTAACCCGAAATCCGAATGACCCGAACCCGATAACCTGTGGTTTTTTGGGTCAGGTTGGATTGGTTAGCGGGTCGACCGTTGGACCCGTTCTATTTAATATATCACTCCCAAAATCTGATAAAATCACTCATAAATTGGTGAGATGTTTAAAAAAATCACAAGGATTTCAATGACATGTTTGGAGTTTAAGGATAAATGGATAATCAAATATCATGTGTTTCTTGTAGTAGTATTACTCTTGTAATTGTTTTTTGACGATTAGCGCAATTTATATTTCATTTCATTAGCGTGGGAGGATTTGAGAATATGTTAATTGACATGTGTTAGGTAAACTATTGTCATGCATATTTGAATATATGTGTTCGTTAAGAAAATATGAAGCATGTTTGATATTGTTTCTGAGAACGCTCATAACCTGAAATGACCTGTAACCCGACTTGAAACCAAATGGGTTGGGTCAATATTTGACCCGAAATAAGCAAACCAAACATGACCCGACCCGTAACCGATGTTCCCAACCTGAACTTACACAACCCGACCTGATTGCCAGGTCTACAAAAAATTACTCGTCTATTTCTCATTAATCTGTTTTGGAGAATTTATATTATTATTATTATTATTATTATTAATGGTAACAAGTAAATGATGTTGTTTTAATGAATTTAAGTAATAAAAATTTTGATTTATTGTTTATTTCATTAATTTATAAGTCAAAAGTTGATGTTATTTGTTGATTGAACGTAAATTGTAAATATATTTTAAATATGATTAATTTCATTAGATGTTATTGATTTTCACATATTTTGTTGAACCGACATGAACAAGCACAAATTAGTTGTACCACTGGTCATACCATTCCACTTGTCAAACCGGCATAGCGGTATAAACCGGTTTGACAACTTTGCACCTGTGGCTAAGCCTTTTTAGGTGTAGTTTTAAGTGGAAGTTCATATAAAATAAATAAGATGAATTTTACAATGATTTATAATAATAGGGTGTTGATTAATTTTTTTTTATGATACAAATTAATTATGGATTAAGATGAAAGAAAAATAGCCTGTTAAAATTTATGAAAAAATTAATGATCTTCCATAAATAATGATATGAAAGTAATGTGGCAGATTATGCATGGTTATGCAGACATCACACCACTATGATAACATATGAAATTAATGACACATTCTACCATGTAATTAAATTTTAGGACCAGTATCACCTATGAGAAACGAGGCTCGCCCATTTAACATGACAACACGAGCTCATTAGTCGTATTTCTATTATTCGGTGCGGAATTTTACAATGATATATAACATTGGTGCTATAAATTTTATCTTTTATGGTACAACTTGAAATTGTACCTTTAATGTTATGGTACAACTTCAAATTGTACCTATACTTTTTGTGCAAATTCTTTTATGATACAACTTGAACTTGTACCTTTATGTGATGGTACAATCTTCAAGTTGTAAAGTTGTACCATAACATAATGGTACAAATTTCTTTATGGTATAGCCTAAATTTATACATTTATTGTTATGGTACAACCTAAAGTTGTACATTAAAGCACCAATACTATAAAGCATAGTAGAAGTGCTCATTATTCGGTAGTAATCATTTATTTAGATTAATTATGTTATTATTCAGCATACTTCGTTTATGAATTGTGATTAGGTTTTGTTTTTATAACTATTCCTGATTATTTTTATTTTCTGTTTTCTAGTTTTAGTAGAACAAACATTTACTCTTTCTATTCATCTTTCTTAGCATCAATAGTATAAGACAATCTTTCTCTCCTTTCTCTCGTGAGTAACAAAAATACCAATTGCTCCAAATAATCAAAACCCAGGTTCCATCAAAAGCCCGCTAAACAAAGAAATATTCTTTGCGAGTAGAAGCCAAATTTCATATTCTCTGTTCACATTGGTCTTTTAGTACAAGCATCTAATTATTTACACTTCTCATCATTTTAAATATTCGTTAGGGCAAAGTACTTTTGCGTAAAATATTTAGAGCACCACCCATTATTGGTTCGCATATATAAAGATGGGTTTGGTAGTCCAAACGGCTGCATGAGTTGTTTTGTTATTTTTGACGCATCTCAAACCGAGTTTTTTTCAAGGATTAAAAAATCATACTGGCGAAATTCGAACATAATTTTTTTTATGAGAAGTGAAACCGGTAAGTGGTATTTAGTGGTATGAAATGGTTGAACCACGATTTCATCATAAAATATCCTATCATTGACTTTTTCGGTACAACATCTGGTACAGTATTTCAATTATTGATTTTTTTCCTTATTCTTCCTTTATTCTTAAAAATTATTTTTAAATGGAAGCATACAAAATCTGGTACCGTATTTCAATTATTGATTTTTTTTCCTTTCTTCTTCCTTTATTCTTAAAAATAGTTTTTAAATGGAAGCAAATGTCAATTCGATCTTATTTTTGTGTTATTAAATAGTTGAAAATACGAATAAGAATGATCTTTACTGCTAGTTTTCAAAATTGAAGGTTCAAGATCCGAATCTTTGAAATAGCATCTAACAAAAAATAAAATTGATATAATTCTTATAAGAAAATAGTTGGAAACCCTAAATTGTTAACCAACAAAATTCGCATATAACCAAATGAATATAGCAAAAGTGATTCCATGTTCGCCGCCTAAATCTACTCTTGATTTTCTTCTTAATATTAAATTCGTGGAATCGGAGTTAAGGAATTAGTAGCCGACTCACGCACTTAATGAAATTATCAAAGCAAATTTTTTTTTATAAATCGGTATTTCATTTCACCAAAAGCGTTGCTGGCAACACCCTTGCCAGCTAGGGGAATGAGATCAGACAAAAAAGAACCATTAGTAGACCAATCAACATAAACCTACCAAAAGACCAAAACACAGGGAAGGAAAACTTCTATGTATAAGACTCTAATCAGTGCTACCCTATCAACAAACAGAGCAAACTCGGGTAAGAAAGTCAAGCAGCCTAAGAAACAGGTGGTCCGAAACGATCAATCTCCTTTGAATCCTGCACCAAAACTCGAACCTCACTCTTAATCAGAGAAACCAAAACTTCAGGGGACCTCTTGTTACTCCCAAACGCTCTATAACAACGCTCCCTCCAAGTATGACTCACCATAGATTGCCAGATCAGTCTACCTATCAATGCACATAAAGAGGTGGCTCTAAACTTCATGATAGCCCATTCAAGGTTTTCCTCCCATGATCTCGGCAAGAAAGAGCAGAAGTTACCCAGCAGTAACTGATGAATGGAAGAATAGTTAAGGCAAACAGAAAACAAATGGTCTCTTGTCTCATCTGGTTGATCAAAGAGTAAACACTGATCGAAACCTGCAAACCCCCATCTTTTCATCTTGTCTTTCGTTTATATCTTGTTAAGTATGATAAGCCAAACAAGAAACCTGTTTCTAGGGATAGTAATCCCCTTCCAGAGAAGCCTGTACCAGTTAACTAAGCTTCCCAAATGATCTTGATAGAATACCTTGGCATTGCAGTATCATTCCAGAGGAGCATGCCATTGTGAACTCTGAAAAGATTAGGGACCTTATTGCGAAGCCTCAATAACTTCTTCCAGTTCCAGGACCCAGTAACATTCACAACCCAAAAATCCCTACCTTTCAACCTACCATCGTTTCTTTTTTTAATGTAAGGGTAATTATTATTCTCAACGGGTGTTATATAATCCTACTCGTGACGGATTCAGATTATTGGATAGGCGTGTCGGCAAATGAAAATTAATTAATTAAAAATTAACATAAAATTTTCTTCATAAACTTCACAATTTCATTTTTTATATAATGAACCACGACAAATTTTAAGGTTTCTTAATTACATTTATAGTTGTGTCACAAATCAAACATTTTTTTATGCAAATTACCGATCGAGTGATAAGGATAAGTATATTATCGCGCCACTTGGACCATACAACTATAGATTTAATGAATAAAATTAAGGAGTTTAAAAGTAAAATGTGATTTCGTATAAAGTAAATGTAATGCAATAACTAAACTGAAAGAAAGTATGGAGAAAGACGACATGAAATTCACTATCTAATTACTTGACTTAATCCGTTTATTAATAAATTTAAATTCTCATTCGAATGACCGAGGTTACCTCTAAGGTGATAGTTATCTCTCTACATACTCATTATGTACTAACTACTAAGTACCCATTTACTTGTTTACTCTCGTATAACCAACTAATTAACTGTCTAATTTGAAAGCTAATCACTCCTATATTTACATATTTTAACAACTTTAAGACAACAATTTTTTTGCAACATAATGAAGGTGTGTCGGTTACAAATTTTGAAGGTGTGTCAAAAGTCTCGTTTTTGATTTTTTATACCGTCAAAATCGGGATCGCTAATACAAATTTCGGGCGGAGGTTTGTCGCTTGACACAACTATGCATATGAAAACTTGTTTAAAAATATAGCCACTTTTTTAAAACATAGCCATAACTATTCGCGTTGTGACAAATATAGCCACTTTTTAAAAAATACACTCGTATAGCCACTTTTGAAAACTTGTTTCACAAATTTAGCCATTTCCGTTACAAAACTTTAACACTGTTAACTCTGCAATAATGTGGATGTACACGTTATCAAATGTATGCCACGTGACAGCCACCTCAATTTAAATTATTATTTTAAATAATTCCTTAATTATTATATTTCACCACAATTCTCCCTTTCAGAAAATACTCTCCCTTCCCATTCTCTCTCTCCCTTATCTCTTTTCCCTCTCTTCTTCTCCACCACACAACAAGAAAATTTTGACGAAGATGGTAGAATGCGGCTCTCGACAAGGATGCAGACCCTTCTGATAGAGCTTGAGGGATATGCCACGGACGGGACCCTTCTGGATTCGCTTCTTCAGGTGAGTGGAGAAGCCGGCGATCTTTTTGCGAAGGCGCTTGGACCCATTTTCGCCGCCGACGAGAGAGAGAGGAGAAGAGAGCTTAACCTAGCTGTGGATTTTAGGGCGCCGGTGGGGAGAGTGAAGAGGAAACTGCTGCTGGGGAGGAGTCAAGACATTTGAATTTGAATTTGAATTTGGATCCGAATCTGGTGCAGAAGGATGAAGTTTGGGAAAAAGGGTTTTGGCGGTGGATGCGAATCTGGTGCAGAAGGAAGAAGTTTGGGAAGATGTGTTTTGGCGGCGAAATCGTGTTTCTTTTCTACAGATGCGAGTTTCTGCTTGATGGGTTTCTGTTAGGGGGTCAATGAAACCAGTTTTGGCGGTGGTGGGTGGTTGGAGAATACGAGATCTTGTTGGAGAAGACGATGCGATTCCCTCTATTTAGTGGTGGCGGCCGCGATTAGGGTGGCGATGGAGATCGGAAGGGACTGGATAAATCGCGGAGCTTCACGACAATGGCGGCGTCGGAAGAGATTGTTGGAGTTGGCGACCTTGACTCCTCGGCTACTGGTGACTCCGTGGCCTCCTCCCTAGCTCCAGGGGAATGAGCTTATGGGTGTCGCCGTCGATTTGGAGTGATGGTGGAGGGGTTTTACTAATAAGTGGGACAAAATAATCTGGGTAAGAGTCAATCGACGACAGCCGATGGGATGCATGGACGACGGGGAAGAGATGATCCGGATAGGTCTCCTGGGTAGATGGAAAGAAGGGGAAAAGAAGATGAAGAAGGCGTGTCCATTTTTATGTACTATTATTTTTAATTTTTATTGCAATTATAATAATAAATTAATAAGAAAGGAAAAACTTTCCACCTAGGATTGGTTTAAACAAAAAATTGCCACATCACCAGAAAACGTTAGTACAGTCAGCATTTACAATGTTGCCGTTATAGTTTTGGACGGAATGGCTATACGAGTGTATTTTTCAAAAACTGGTTATATTTGTCACAACGCGAATAGTTATGGCTATGAAAGTGTATTTTGCCTTTCTTTATTGAACCTGGATATTGTATTAATTCGAAAACAATGTTACATCATCCAGTTTCAGCTGATCAAGTGAATAAACTGGCAGCCTATCAAACCAAACATCCCTCTCGTCAAAACTACTATATATGCACGAGCCATTATGTGTGTCAAGAACCAGTTGAACCCAATAACTCGAGTTGTTGGCAGATGTTCAATCGTGGATCATATACCTTTTACTAACACACCCCCTCAAACTCAAGCCACTCGGATAGGCTTGGAGTTTGCATAGCTACAGGTCCGGACACCATGTGCTTAACATAAACAGAAACATATGGGGGTCACTGGGAATAGAACACAAGACCTTTCGGTCACTGAAGGCTCTGATACCAGGTCAAAAACTTGTTGATCCCAATAACTCGAGTTGTTCGGAGAGGTTCAATCGTGAATCATATACCGTTTACTAACATGCCGCACCATTAGCCTCCCTCGGCAGGTGAATCCATTCCCCATTTCCCAACTGACTCAACCCTCTCCTGATTCTTCTACACACCACTCTTGTTTCTGTTAGCTCCCTTATCGGGTTATGCAGTTTGTTCATCAACGTCAAATTGTCACATTCCAAAATCGGGTTTGATACATAAAACAGGGTCGCCATCAGAACTCCCAGGTCAATAACAAGCGCCTCTACCAGCTCCACATTCTCTACCCCTTGGATTCGCTTAATTTGCTGTTGCGAGGATAAACGACCCATCGTTTCGAACTACCACCCCCAGCCCTGCATCACGCCCAGGATAGATCGTCGTGTCAGTAGTGATGGACACTTGACCTAGCGGTGGGCGACTCCATTTCCTCTATGGCGGCATCGGGTCTTCCTCTACCTTACGGTTCTAGTGCTTTTTTTAGTCTTCAAGAAAGAAACCTGCCCGTAGTACTACCTCGTTTTTGGCAGTTTTGTGCACGTTCCAGTAATGTGAGTTTCGATCTTTCGACAAGAGAGCACTTATACTATGTTATATAGCATTAATGTGCAACTTAAAGTTGTACCATACCATTAAATGTATAAGTTCATATTGTACCATAAAGAAATTTGTATCATTATGTTATGGTACAACTTTACAACTTGAAGTAGTTGTACCATCACATAAAGGTACAAGTTCAAGTTGTACCATAAAAGATTTTGTATAAATAGTATAGGTACAATCTGAATTTGTACCATAACGTTAAAGATACACAAGAACCACATCAAAACACTCCACCCCTTGACGACATCGTCATCCTGTGATTGAAGAACTTCTGTTATCGAGCTGAGGAGATAGGGTAGTAATTCGTATTTCCTGTCAAGAAAGCTGGGAAGTGCAAGAGCTCCTTATGCTGCTTATGAATGGTTCCCTCATATTGTTTCCATTATCTCTAATGGTGATATAATTAGTTTAGTATCATGATTTCTTATACCTTTTTCTTCATTTTTTTTTTCTTGTAACTGATTGTACACTGTTTGATTGAGGGCTTACCAGTTAGAATTTTTTTTAATGATAAAAGGCTTATTCATAAGGGAAAATTCGGAAAAACTAAGATATCTTGCTTTTCTCTCTTATTTATATTTTTTCATTTTAATTGTAAATGGAAATAGCATAATTCAAAGAGAAACCAGTGAAATTCGAATCCTATTAAACTAGTAAGTAACTAACCTAAACGACTAGTAAACAAAATGTTGTGTCTTCCATTCTTCTTCTTGATCCAATCTATTTAATCTTAGAGTTGTTAGCAATGTAACCTGATCGATTATCACAAAATACCTAATTTAGCATTGGACATGAGATCCTAAAAGCTACAAACCCTAAATGGAGTCGAAGGCCCAATCCAAAAATGGTAGGTTTGGTACCCTGCTTGTGGCCAAATTGGCGACTTAGGCACCATTTTCCAGAAGTTGCATTTTCTAAATCCAACCGATTAAATATTTCTTCCTTTGGCCCCAAGTGGAAGAAAATCCAAACCTCTTGAAAACTTCTTGAAAACCTAATAGTTTATTTATTTATTTATAATTAAGTGTGATGAGGATTTTATTAAGGAACCAAGCAGAGAATGTACACAAAGAAAGAAGATCAGAGATCATAAGGACCTAAACTTCTGATGATACCGTCGATGAAATTTGGAAATGGCCAAACTACTTCTATAATATTCAGCAATGGAGTCCAAATTGAGCTGTTAAGTACATGCAACAAAAAAGGTGATCAACATTCTCCTTAGCAGCTCCACAGAGCACACATCTAAGAGAGGCTAAATAAGTAAACAATTTTTAACTATATGAAATGGTTTAACTATAGTTAAAAAGCACAATTTCAGCATAAAATATTCTAAATTATTAATTTTTTTTCTTATACAACCTACCAATACGATTTTATAATCTTAATTTACAATACGGTACAATCCACACATTTGCCATTGGCTAGTAATGCGGGTTTATATGAGCGATCACATGCATGCATGAGTGATTAGTAATCTATAAAAAGGTATCGGATTTGTCAAATGTAACAAGCAAGTGACACGTCTGAACCCTATGCACATATGTTAATAGCATCTGTTCTGTTCTGTTGTATTCTGTTCTGTTTTGTTATATGCATATGAACCAGATAGCTAGGCATTACCGCCCTCCACCGAGCTGAAACCGGACGACAAATTTAGGACGACAGTGAAAATGTTCGCCGTCCAGCCAACAGGAAACATCCACGCTTTCTGCAAAATCTTCTCCCAGCCAGTAAAATATGTTGTGTTGTTTATGAGGCTAGGGTGGGTCGAAGAATCCAGCGGTTGGAGTAAGAACTAGTTGTAGGGACAATAGGCACGAGCTCTGTTTGTGTTCAATGCGACACCACACGTGTGCTTATTGAGCTGCCTCTACAGCCCCTTTCTTTTTAGTTTCTGTTACCTTGAACCACAAGAAAAAAGAAGACTCAAATAATGCTATATTCTAATTCTATCGATAATGTAAATATATTTTTTTTTCCTTTTCTAAAGTAGCCTAGTTTCCGCTGAGGCTACGTGTCTAGCTACATTGTACAGCAGTTTTTTTCGTAAAATTAAATTTATAATTTTTCTGGGTTATTTTTTTTTTGTGATGTTTTTATTTTTGAAGGATGGGATTCTTTATAAAAAGAATTCAGTGGATCTAGAGCCATGGAATTAGAATATCCATGTGTATGATAGAAGTAACGAAACTTGTGAACCACAAACGTGGCTGAACATCATATTATCAAAAACCACCAGTTGGTTTCAATAATTCGAATGGTTAGCAGAGGTTCAATCATGGATCATATATCATTTACAAACACATTTTATTATTAACTCAAGTTGTTGGAAAATGTTCATTCTCCAATTATATATCATTTACTAACATATATCTACAGGCCAACACTTATGTATGTGCGTAAATTTATTCGTGGGTCGTCTGTCAGTTGATTATAGAGGTCGAGAAAACCATATATAGTCAGACATTATATATATGGTCGGCGACTTCAATCTTTTGATTCCACATGATTAACGACTAGCGGTTATTGTTGTATATATTCAACGTATTGTTTCAAGTTTCAGGTTTTGAATATATTGTTTAATATTGCATTACTAAAAACCAAGTCTCTGACTTGTGATCTGCATCAAATCTACCGGCCTGCTGTTTTCCCCCGACAAAAATCAGTGTTATAATGATCTGTACTTTCTTAACTCATAGTATAATGAATCACTGACAAATTAATATTACAGACGACGTAATTAGTGCTCATTCAACGTGATTGAGTAACCCATTTACGGGGAAAAAACAATTGATTAGTACTTTTTTTTTGTTTACACAAACTACAAGATAATATATACCATAATGAGATATTGAAAACAGTAAAATACATGGAGTAAACAGCAAAAGATTTACAAATGAAATTCTCCCATGTTTCAGCGTCTCGTGAGTTCAACTGATCAACTGATTTTTGATATAGTATCAAACTCTTTGATGAGTAAAGGTGTTTTGTTCAAATCACAATGACATTTATTTGTTCGGTGGCATATGGTATTCAACCTTGTGCAACCTTCAAATTCATATGGCACCAAGGGCTTGGTCTAGCGATCTATCACGGGTCTTCAATTCCCATATGAGTTGACTTTTATCTG